TTTTAAATTCTAAGTCCTCTGTTATGTGGCTCAAAATCATCTTCCAACTCCTCTCCTGATACTTTTCCCAATTCAAAATTTGCTCCAGCCAGGTGGACCTGCTCAATGCATGTCAGAAATCTCTGGCTGGGAGATTTATGTCTCTCTTCTTTGCTTTCTAAGTTTTACCCTTCTAAAATATCCCCCATTCTGGTATCCAAATATGTGACTGGCCAGCATTCTCCAATGACATGTTCAGCTTCTTCCCATGCAAAAGCTTCTCTGATGAATATTATTATTTTTTTTTTTGAGACAGAGTCTCATATGTCTCTCTCAGTAGAGTGCTGTGGCATCACAGCTCACGGCATCCTCAAACTCTTGGGCTTAAGCGATTCTCTTGCTTCAGCCTCCCAAGTTGCTGGGACTACAGGTGCCCACCACGACACCTGGCTATTTTTTTGTTGCAGTTGTCATCGTTGTTTTAGCTGGCCCGGGCTGGTTTCGAACCTGCCACCCTCTCAGTGTATGTGGCTGGTACTGTAACCACTGTGGTACAGGTGCCGAACCTCTGATGAATATTTAACCTTTTTATTCATTCATTTATACACTTAAATCTGATTTCTGCAAATAAACCAGTTCTTATGCACAGATACTCTGCTAAGCACTTGAGGAGCACTTGGGTTTATGGGGATGTAGACTGTTCTGCCTGAGTTTTGGGAGTTTACAGATTCGTAAACTCAAAGTGGTAAGCAAGGATCATTGTTATTATATAGGTACAGATAAAGTGCTTTGATAATTCAGAGGGAAATAAATTATGAAATCAGGAGGATGCTGGGAAAAATTTATCCTCAAAAGTTGAGCAGGACCTAAAGGGACCAAAGAAAAGTACAAGCTGAGCCATGATAATAGAGCAAGGAGACAAGACGGGGGACCTTCAGAGTGACAAGGCACTTGGCTGGCTATGGTATAGGATGTGTATAAAGGTAGTGCAGAGTTTATGGAGACAGATGGGGAGAGAACAGCCTGGTGTGTGACCTGCTGAGCTCTAACCTCTTAACACATTTGTTGTGATGTTCACTGTGCCCTTCTTTATATACTTATCTGCCGTATTGTTTTCTTCTTATTTGTTCAGTTCTTGTTTCTAAAATTCCATCCACAGTGGGAATCGCAGCACCTACCTCTCATGTCCTTAACAATGTGTCGGGCTTTGCACAGGGACACTCAACAAATGTCCTTGGTTCACAATCCTTGAGACGCTCTGTGTGCCTTCCCAGTCTCAGGCAGAGAGAGCCAGAGACTCAAGTTGTAGAAACCCCCTGATAGTGGAGGATGTGATAGCCCTGGGGCTTAGGGTGACATTGGCGATCAGAAGGACAATGTGATATTGGGACAAAAAATGGGGACACCCTGCACAAAGGTGATGGCTGAATAAGGAGAGAGGTGGGGATGGCCTTCAGCCACTGCCAGTGCTGAGTCGGGAAACACAGCCGGTTGCGTGAAGGTGTGAAGGTGGTGGAGGAAAGCTTCTGAGAATGGATCTGGTGTCCCTCATTGTGGCTGACCAAACTGGCAGCGCCATTGGTTAAATAAGAGAGACAAAATAAAGGACTATCATTTTTGTGTATCTGCTTGGTGAAGTGAGGAAAGGTTCCAGGGAGGTTTGGAACAAGCTGAGGTTTGGATGAGTGGGGCAGACCCCGCGTGGGCATCACGGCAGAATTGCAGCCTCTGCTCACCTTTCTGCTCAGGTGTCCTCTCCGTCCCCAGTACCATGGGAAGGCAGGAAGGAAGCTGGGGGGAGGGGGGGGGACAGCCGGCTGAGGATTGTGCTGTCACCTGCGCTGAGCCTGGCATGTTAAGTACTTGATCTCATGGACAGCCGGGGAGACACGTCCAGCTCCTGCTACAGGTGGCTGCTGAGGCTCAGTGAAGCCAGCCAGTTTGCCCAGGGTCCCTCCCGCTCGGCTTTTCGAGACCTCGGATACAGTCGGTCACTTGCAGACCTCTAACTGCGGCTCTCTGCCCCTCCCCAGGCTTCCACCTCTACCACAGGCTGCCGCACCTCATGCCGGAGAGCTGCCTCCTCATCCTCGTGGGCGTGCTGGTGGGCGCCATCATCTTCGGCACCGACCACAAGTCGCCTCCGGTCATGGACTCGAGCATCTACTTCCTGTACCTCCTCCCGCCCATCGTGCTGGAGGGCGGGTACTTCATGCCCACCCGGCCCTTCTTCGAGAACCTGGGCTCCATCCTGTGGTGGGCCGGCCTGGGGTCCCTGGTCAATGCCTTCGGCATCGGCCTCTCGCTCTACCTCGTCTGCCAGGTCCAGGCCTTCGGGCTGGGCGACGTCAACCTGCTGCAGAACCTGCTGTTCGGCAGCCTGATCTCGGCCGTGGACCCCGCGGCCGTGCTGGCCGTGTTCGAGGAGGCGCGTGTGAACGAGCAGCTCTACTTGATCATCTTCGGGGAGGCCCTGCTCAACGACGGCATCAGTGTGGTGAGAGGCCGAGGGCGGCGGGCGGCGGCCACCGAGGCTGTCCCCGGGGCCAGGGGGGGCTGGAGCGTGACTGGCCACCGCGGGGCAGGGAGAGGCGTCGGTTCTGGCTGCGTGTCCTGGGATGCGCTGTCTTCCCTAAGGTCGGCGTTGTATACACGTCGGCTCACTAGCGCCGCCTGCCGTCCGTTCCCAAGCCCGTTAGTTTCTTTACAAATT